ACGGAAATTTTGATAAAAATCATCGGCTTCAACTAGTCGGAAAAAGAATTTTGGCAAAACGTGGAAAGAACGACAGCACCAAAACAACACATCTTCGAGAAGTTTGGCTACAAAGAAAACTAATGGCAAACAACGAGGTATGTATCTGAGTTAGTGAAATCAACAACAAAAATGTGTGTGGGAATGCTGTCAGACGTGCGACATGTTGGCATGCGACATTTATTTATGTTGTAACTTTCAAACTTCATATTCATCATTTTTTTGTAAGTCCGATTTAGAAAGATCGGCAGGGACACATGATTATTAAAATATATACTTTATCCTTAAGCTACTTATTTGGTATTTGACCTGTGATAACGCAAGTCCGATCATCAAGCATCGGCTTAGAATGAGGTTTGACATCGGTGTAGTTTATTCAAGGATCAGAACAGAATCGTACGGCCAAAATAACAGCGCTGCGGTATTGAGTTAGCAATGACCTGCAATCATTGATAGTTTTAATATCATCGGGTCATGACATTCACAATCAATTTTGTGTGGCTTATTATACCGCACTTACCGTAATTTCCAAAGAAAGTGAGACACGCGACACGTGTAGAGTCGCATTGTGTGTAGAGTTGCATAATAACACATTTCATTTCTAGTGATGTAACTAGGGCAAACGTGTAACCCTCCTTCCGCCGTATGTTTAACGTAAGTCCGATTTGGAAGGAATCGGCAAGGATAAATTTGCATCTTGACATTTAAAGTCATGTGAATTTCTGGCATGTTCGTTGGTGAGTTAGTCTGTTTTCAAAAGCAAATATTGAAAACATTGAAGTAAACTTTGTAAGTCTGCAGGTACAATCGTTATTTTCCACAGGGTGGTTAACCATGACAGGCTACAGGTAAGCTGATAGATAGTCATTGGATGTACATTGTATAGTAATGTTTCACCTCAGTAACCAATGTAAGTAACTAGCCTGACCCCGTGTTTTCGTAAGAAAATAAGGATATATAAGTGGAGATAGTAGGCTGCTACGAAAATTGAAAACAAAATAATATTCATATTGGTCTGAAATCACATCGTAAGCGGAAAATTTCTTTTTCGTAGAAATACTATTCCGCCTTCAGCAGATGGCTATAAAAAGGACGAGACCGACACCAAAAATCGAAGCGGCAAAAATGTTCAGTGACAACATATTGCAAAAAGAAATATAAAAAAAAACAAAAAAAAACACCAAATTAAAACAATCGACGCTATAGTGAGAGAAATTATACTCGAGATCAGTGTTATTTTCGCACATACAAATAAAAAACAAAATCGGTTACGGAAATACCCAAATCAAAGTGGCGAAAATTAAAATGACGAAAATTACAGGTAAAAAAAAATACAGCGGTGGCGAAAGAAGTGTACTTGAAATCTGTGTTAATTTAATACAAAATAGAAATGATCGAAAGTTTGATAAAAATCTCATCTGCTTCAAATGTTCGGAAAGCGAATTTTGGCAAAACGTTAACGGTGCGAAAAACGACAGCAACAAAACAATTAAAATTGCAGAAATTACGGCAGCAAAAAATAATCACCATCTCGAAACAAAGACAAACGTTAAACTGACAATTTACGGCAATTACAGCGAAATTAAAAAAATATCTTCCCCGCAGAACTACACATCTTAAAGGTATTCGGCTTCAAAAATAACGGAAATTACTTCACATCTTCGAGAAGTTTGCCTACGAAGAAAACGAATGGCAAAAACTGAGGTAGGCCTATGCATCTGTGTATTAAGTCAAGTAAACTTGGTAAAATCAACAACAAAAATGCATTTGTGGGGAATGATGTCAGACGTGCGAGATGTTTATAGTCGCATGCGATATTTCTTCATGCTGCAACTTATCAACCTTCATGTTCATCATTTTTTGTAAGTCCGATTTGGAAAGATCTGTTGGTAGTCTTACTTTGACCTTCGATAACGCAAGGCAAACCATCAAGAATCGGCTGGGATAAATCTGCTTTATCATTCATATGTAAATGAGTCACGGTAGAGTGGTTAAGGGCGGGTAATTTGAATAGGGAGTGGCACAGGAATGTGTGCGTGGTTGGATTGAAGGTAGATCACTTCACGCTTGCGAGCAGCAACGACAACACACAATTTTTAACACAGTTGTCAAGTCTGGTTGTAACTTCATAGTTGTTAAGTGTCTCAAACAGTATTTATAAGAGACGAACATTGCTACCCTTGCCTGAAGGAGTTGTCTTGCATAGTTCAGGTGTTCGTTTCCATTTTTCCAAATATGGTTTTGGTTTTTCGTATCTGGCAGTCAACACAGCAATGTTAGATGGGGTACAAATCCAGAAACAGCCATAATGTAATAGACGAGTGGTATCTTGCGATTATTCAATTAAGTATAGTTAAAGGCTAAAGGCTCTGAAGCCTAAAGGAAAGTTCTGTAAAGCTTAAAGGTTCAAATGAAATCCACAAGTGGCAATCAAGGTATGGTCGGAGTAGTCTCTGACGGAGGTACAAAACGAGATTTGCAGGTTGGCAGTAAGATTCATAAAGATCAGATCTACTAGATGAGATGCTAGAATTGTTCTAGCGATCTAATGCGTTCAGAACGCGAACAAGTCTGAATAGAATTGCACCATAGTATGCGTGATTTATCCTCAGCGGAAGGTATTTGGTATTATACAAAACCAAAAAAGATAGTTCTGAAAAGCTTGCTTTAATATAATATCAAATGTGGTACGAATATTCAGAAATAACCATAACAATTGTAAAGAGGAGGGAAGTCTCAAGGTTAATTCTATTATTGATTACGCAAATATGCTAAATGAAAGGCTCTTACGCCTAAATGATAGACCCTAGTTCTGTAAATATTGTCTCCATCAAGACGTCTTTAAGGTTCAAATTATTGAATGACCGTAATTAAAACACTGTCGTACCTGGTAGTCATCACAGCGATGAGACTAAACATAATATCAAATGGGGTACGAATATTTAGAAATAATCATAACAATTGCAAAAACGAGTGCTGTCTCAGGTATAATTCTGTATAATTAATTGATTACTTACATGTGTCTATAATGAAAGGCTCTTACGCCTAGATAATAGATGATAGTTCTGTAAATACTATCAAGTCTTTAAAGGTTCGAATTATTGAAAGATGTAATTAAAACATTGGGTCGTCGTACCCGGTTGCTGCTGCAAGCACAAATACCAAAATCAGGATGATTTGATTGTTTATTGTGTAGAATGGTGTTGAAATGATAAACCAAGTTATGCATGTGACAGGGTACAACTTAAATGTGGTCAACAAGCGATTTCGGAAAATGGCCGACTTAGGGATGTATAAGACGTGCGACATTTCTTTGTGTTCTTGTAATTTTTTTCAACGTTTAGTTCATGTACATCATTTCTGTAAGGCCGATTTAGAAAATCGGCAGAGATACATATTCAAAAAGTATATTTTATCCTTTAGTTACTCATTTGGTTGTCTTACGTTGACATTTGATAACGTAAGGCCGACAATCAAGCATCGGCTTGGAATGAGACTTGATCTCTGTGCTGTTTATTAAAGGGGAAAAACTGCGAAAAACTGAATGAAATGAGACCATTGATGGACCTTATAGTAGATTGTTATTTGTCTTTGTAATTTTGTCTGCGAAACTAACGGCCAAAATATCAGCGCTGTGGTAGTGAGTTAAAACTAAGACTAGCAATCAGTGATATTTTTAAATTCATGGGTTTATGACCTTGACAAATCTTTGTGTGACTATGAGTATACCACACTTGGGCCTATACGTGATTTCCAAAGAAGTAAAGAAAAGTATTAAGACACGCGACACGTTTACAGTCGCATGAAATAACATAATCATTTTTTTTGTAATGAGGGCCTACAAAGCTCCTTCCGCCGTATATGTTTTATGTAAGTCCGATTAAGAAGGGATCGGCAAGGATAAAGATGGCATCATTTTGTCATCTAAAGGTCATGTGAATTTCTTGAATGTTCGTGTGCGAGTTATATGCGGTTTCCAAGGCAACCTGGCATTATTAGCGTCGGCACACATTTTGTGCGCATTGAAATGAATAATCTAGTCTGTGTTTACAAGTAATAATGAGAACATTGAGGTAAACATTGTAACCATGGGTAGAATCGTTGGTTTCCATTGGGGTCAAAACCATGACCAGGTTAAAGGTAATCTTAAACATAGATGCATTGTAATTTTGTGACTTCAATAACAAATGGGCTCTGCCCAGTGTTTTCGTACCCCTGTACACTTGGGAAAGATTGGCAGCGTTCATAGAAAATAAGGATGTAAAAGTGGAAACAGACTACGCAAAGAGGCTGCTAAATTCCCAACTTCGACACTATGCAAAATGTGGCTATGCTATACAGAAAACTGACGGAAAATATGATGACATCTTATCGGCAGCGGATCGGTAGCAACTGCATCACCGCTTCAAAAAAGTCGGAAAACTAATTTTGTGAAAACGGTGGGGAAAATGACAGCAAAACAAATAAAACGGCGAAAATTACGGCAAAATATACAGCGATGTTAAAAAAGAAATGAATAATCGCCATGTCAAACAAAAAATATTGGACGAAAATTGAAGAAGAACAAATCAAGTCGGTCTAAAATCACATTGTGTATAGATAAATTCTTTCGAAGAAATACTACTCCGCCTCCAACAGATGGCTATGAAAATGACGAAAATTACATCAAAAATCGAAGCGGTAAAAACCGTTCAGTCACAAATATAGGCGAGGAGGCTGCTCATTTCCCAACTTCGACACTATGCAAAATGTGGCCATGCTACAGAAAAAAAAATTCACGGAAATTATGATAAAATCTTACTGGCAGCGGATCGGTAGCAACTGCAACACCGCCAGCTTCATAAAAAGTCGGAAAACTAATTTTGGGAACACGGTGGGTAAAATGACAACAACAAAAACAAACAAAACGGCGGAAATTACGGCAAAATTATCGCAAAATTTACAGCGGTGTTTAAAAAGAAAGGAATAATCGCCATGTCGAACGAAAAATATTGGACGAAAATTGAAGAAAAAAATCAAGTCGGTCTAAAATCACATCGTGTGTGGACAAATTCTTTCGTAGAAATACTTCTCTGCCTCCAACAGATGGCTATGAAAATGACGAAAAATACATCTAAAATCGAAGCAGCAAAAAACGTTCAGTCACAAATATAGGCAAGGAGGCTGTTAATTTCCCAACTTCGACACTATGCAAAATGTGGCCATGCTACAGAAAAAATTCACGGAAATTATGATAAAATCTTACTGGCAGCGGATCGGTAGCAACTGCAACACCGCCAGCTTCATAAAAAGTCGGAAAACTAATTTTGGGAATACGGTGGTTAAAATGACAACAACAAAAACAAACAAAACGGCGGAAATTACGGCAAAATTATGGCAAAATTTACAGCGGTGTTTAAAAAGAAAGGAATAATCGCCATGTCGAACGAAAAATATTGGACGAAAATTGAAGAAAAAAATCAAGTCGGTCTAAAATCACATCGTGTGTGGACAAATTCTTTCGTAGAAATACTTCTCTGCCTCCAACAGATGGCTATGAAAATGACGAAAAATACATCTAAAATCGAAGCAGCAAAAAACGTTCAGTCACAAATATAGGCAAGGAGGCTGTTAATTTCCCAACTTCGACACTATGCAAAATGTGGCCATGCCACAGAAAAAAATGACGGGAATTATGATAAAATCTTACTGGCAGCAGATCGGTAGCAACTGCAACACCGCCAGCTTTAAAAAGACGGAAAACTAATTTTGGGAATACGGTGGGGAAAATGACAACAGCAAAACAAACAAAACGGCGGAAATTAAGGCAAAATTACGGCCAAATTTACAGCGGTGTTAAAAAAAAATTAATAATCGCCATGTCAAACGAAAAAGTCGGTGAACAAAATGACGGGATTTACGGTAACTACATGTCATTTTTAAGTCCTTTTTTTTCCGGCAGAACTATATACGTGTACAGGATGCATTAGGAAAGAATACTGCATAATAGCAGTGTCGAGACATTTTTGTACATTATGGGCGGCACGTTGTGTGTCCATTAGAACAAAATAATCGTGTCAGTTTTTAAAAGAAAATCATGGAAAACATTGAAATAAATACGCATGGTAAACACGGGTAAAATAATTCATTTCTAAGGTTACAGATAAGCTTATATTAGAAATACATGTAGTTATTGGCTCCATTGGAATGTTTCTCTTCAGTAACAATTGGGCTAGGCCCAGTGTTTTCATACCCCTGTTTACTTAGGAAAGAGTTGCAGCTTTCATCGGAGAAACTGATGATCTATCACAGTTGAGACAGACTGGATGAGCTACGCTGCTTTGTTAGGACGAAAATGGACCCTTCCACAGCTTCATCTCACACAACTTAACTCAAGGAACCGGAAGCAGGGAGGAGGGCCGACAGATGAACGGATGACCTGCTTGCTGGGCTTCCCATTACTGATTCTTGAGGTTAGTTTATACGTAGGTACTTAAACTTGAGCAAGTCAAATCAAAATGGGTGTTCTTGAGCTCTTCCGATGTTTTTGCACAAAGAAAGAGTATTGGTGGTGAAACGTGCTTTGCTGGATTAATTCAAGGTTTCTTTCCCCTGTCTATACTTTAGAAAAGGAGTACCGACAGACATGCATAGAACTGGCTGGCTGACGAGGCTGCTTCAGTCGGTGAGGATGACATCATCCATGCAGACAACCTAGGACCCGGAAGCAGGGAGGAGGACCGACAGATGAACTGATGACCTGCTTGCAGGGCTTCCCATTACTGATTATCAGGTTAGTTTACATGTAGGCCTCCTCTTAACAGGAACAATCAAATCACAGAACTAATCAAATGGGCGATCTGAATCTGTTATTATGTTCTTCCACAAACAACGAGTTCTGGTAGCGGGACTTTGCTTTGTGGGGTTAATTCAATGTTTTCCTTCCCCTTTCTAGCCCTGGCACGAATACAGCTCATTCAAATGTTTTCTTTCGTCATTTGAATCCTTTCAGAAAAATGAGGACCACTAACTGATGAAAGAATTGCTCTACTGGGATTGATGAGCCTGCCTCAAGACATCGTCAGGGCTCCAACAGCTTCATCACACAGAAGCCCGAGGAACCGGAAGCAGGGAGGAGGACCGACAGATGAGCTGATGACCTGCTTGCTGGGCTTCTCATTACTGATTCTTGAGGTGAGTTTATAATCAAATACACCTGAGCAAGTCGAATAAAAATGGGTAATCTTGAGCTCTTTTGGTGTTTTCAACAAAAAGAAAAAGTACTGGTGGTGGAGCATTGGTTTGTTTGGTTAATTCAAAGTGTCTCTCCTCTTTCTGTACTTTACAAAAGGAGCACTAACTGGCTGGATGACGAGGCTGCTTCAGTCGGTGAGGATGAGAGGACATGGCCCCAATTTCAAAAACATCATCCATGCAGACAACCTAGGAACCGGAAGCAGAGAGGAGGACCCACAGATGAACTGATGCCCTGCTTGCTGGGCTTCCCATTACTGATTCTTGAGGTTAGTTTTAATATTAGTTTACTCTTGCTTGCGAGACTTTCTCGCGAGACTTGTTCGCGAGACTTGCTCGCAAGACTTGTTCGCAAGACTTGTTCGCAAGACTTGCTTGAAAGAAAAGGAATACGTTTAAGCTGAAGTGAATGTCATAAGACTGCAATTTCGTAATAATTCAAACGTTTCATTTCGTCATTTGAATCCTTTTTTTAAGACGATATGAAACTGAGGTATCAGAAGCACTAGTAGAGAGGAAAACCAAGAAATATCTTAGTAACATTTGATTTTAACAAAGATAAGCTCCAGACGAGCAATACATATAGCACAAAAGTATGGTTAGAAATCGAGGGAAATCATCGGTGGCAATGCCTGGAACATTTTCAAAACAGCTGGAAGTTAATCACATGACAATGCTTGACGCGTTGTCACTTAAAACGAGTGCAAACGTAACCTCTTGACCCTTTTACAAGAGCTTGAACTCCAATTTTATGGAGATCATTGAAAGGGAAGTCACATTGCCTCGTATAGTCTTCATAACAAGTGGAAATTAAAACATGCCAATAACACATAACCTAGCTAGCCTAAGTCGATATTTTTTTGTTTTGTTTAAATCATCAAGGACCTTCTGCAACTGAACCAGATGGATTCTGCAACTGGATGTAACATGCTTGACATGGAAGAGAATCTTACGTGTTGACTTTAAGAGGATGAAGCTTCTCCACAAATGAATGCCGAGGAACCAGAAGCTGGAAAGACCGACAGATGCCTGACCCTCCTTGCCGAGCTGGACATTACTAATTCTTAAGGTGCAAGAAAGAGACCAAGGTATGAAGACTTCAATTTGTTTTTCCTTTGATACCTTGCCCCCCCCCTACAAAGTATACAATGCTTGATTTCCTCTGTAAATATAAGTTCTAAAGTTTGCTTGCCTGTTTATGCTCTTTGTCATGTTTTAGAACATGAGGACCACCAAGCTTGGATGAGACTGGACAATGACGAAGCTGATCTGTCTGGACAAGGATCGTCTCATCAGAAACCAAGAACCGGAAGAAGCAAGGAAGGAAGACCAACAGATGAACTGATGACCCTGGTTTCTGTGCTTACCTTTACCAATTCCTTAAGTTAGTTTTACTCAAGGAACAAGAAAGAATAAACAAGTACAATTTAGAGGAAGTCTCATCTACAGTGAAAATTTTTTTGCGTGTTGGCGGTAGTGCTAAAGCCCCATGCCAATTTGCCAATGAAACAAAAACACTGTTGCCATTTAACTTGATAGTGCATTTTGTTTCAAAGATAACTAATTTAAGTGAATACAAGAGTTTTAAACACTTTCAAAAAATTAGACTGTTTGAGAAATTTACAAATTTAAGATGTCTATGTAGATAAAATGGGTTATTTTCTTTACAATTTTAAATCGATTAGAAAAAATCAAGAATTTAAAACTTTTGGAAAGTTTCAAGAATCACTGGGAGTTGTTCAGGAATTGTGTATGTACCAAAATGTTGGAAAATTTAAGAACTGTTGAAGACCTCTCCCCCTCACCTACCTTAAAAAGTTTTAATGGTTCTTCTTTGTTCCCCCTCAGAAAACTCCTTAATGCATTGCAACAGGTTACTGGCACTCAGATTACATTGTGTATATCCTTTTGTGTTGTCTGTTTGATTGCACGTTTTCACTACTAACTTATTTTATTTTGTTCACTTGGTGTCTTTTGGTGGTTTTGCATGTCTTTTTGATTTTACTTGTTTAATTAACCCACAAAAGGATAAACACAATGTATACCGAGTGCTGAACTTGCCTCATCAAAAATTGTGTTCACATAATAGCCAAATCAAATAAGATAATGCTTAAAATATTGCAAGACATGATCTCTTAAGTATCAAATTTTTTAAAAGTGGGGGGGGGGGGATATCCCCTAGGTTTTATGTTCCTTTTAAATTTGTTAATTCACACAAAAGGACCAGCTTTAATACCCTCTAATGTTATTATTTTTTTCTAATGTTTTTTTTTTTTTTATTAAAAGCTTAATTTACGTCTAAGCATTCAAGTATCAGAATTGTTGGCATACCCAAATGTTTAACTCATCTAATGTCCGTACTGAATTGCTTCTAAACAAATCGAAATAATTATTATAAGGTGCTCCTATATTGGCTTCCAAAGACCAATTATAATGTCACCTGATCTGTTTAAACAATCTGAAATAGTTTTTGTGGAAAAATTTTTCATTTCTCAAATTGTTTTCTCATCTAGAATCCATGATCAGTATTTGTTTTGTAAGGAATTTGTTTAAAAACATTTGTATGTCAATCAGGTGACAAGAATAAAAACTGAATGAAATGAGATCATTGATAATCCTTAGTAGATTGTCATTTGTTTTTGTCTGTAAATTTTTTTTTAATTTTTATTTCAGTGGTTGGGGAGGTCAAGCCACTACAAACGTTAAAATAATTAACTGACATAACATTTTTAATGATGGCAACTGGAGACGGGGTGCGCACATGATATGATATGAAGGGAAGATAGAATCCACTCTAAGACACGAAACAATTCTCTCGGCTCCACCTATAATATTTATTATCATAGTGGTGTTCCCTTATTAGGCCATCAGCTTGGTGGTTTGGTCAGTAGTATCAAATCAGGGCATCATAATGATTATAGTGCGCATGCGCAAGGTATACCGCCCCTAGAGTGGTAGCAAGCAATTTGATGGACATTTTGGAAAAAAAGGGCGATAACGCCCAAAAAGCTGCCACCACTGCAATGTTATCACATATTTTCCAACTCTGGAGGTGTATACCTTGCCAAAAATCGCTATGGCGATTATTCCCCTCATTTGATACCGGTTACCAAAATTTTGGACCGAGGCTGATGGCCTATAATTTATGTGGCGCACTTCAACGTTTTCCTTAGTCTATGTAATAGACCACGGCGAATATATTATGCGCGAACAGATTTGCTGATTAATTAGGCAAGACCCCGCCTCTGGACTTCCTAGATTTTGACCAGTCAGCAGGCGCTTTCTATACATCTATCGGGTCTTCGGTCATTCACCTGTTGCGCGTCATAGACATGGATTTTAAAAAAAAAATGTCACGGCGCGCGGCGCTCGATACAAATGCGCTCCCGGCTGTTGTTGCATTACAAAACGCTGCATTCGAATTGACCAATCACAACGTTAGTCCTGATTTTGGGATGAAGTGACGTCACGATTTAGTAAAGTCGACTCCGATTGGCTGGCGCGCGGCTTGCATAAATCTGCATGCTTTGACATATCAGACGTTAGACAGGAGATGGCTTCGTGGATAACGGGTGATACTCAGACTACGTTTTCCTCGACTGTGTCGTGAAATTAGGTCCAAAATTTGGGCACTAATTCGGCAGAGTGTTCCCTAACGTGGCGCACTTGTACAAATCTCGGGAAATTCCATGTTAACATTTCAGATCTAGTTTTAACGTTGATAAATTCTGATAAATCAGAATCTCCACTCGCATGTACATGTACGAAGTACAAGTTTGTCAGAAAATTTTCTTATTTTTTGGGGCGCATTTTGAAAGGTTTTCTTGTGCACTTCTAAATAAAATTTAAAAAGATCACGCTAAAATAGAATATCTCTGGAACTTTGTAGCGGCTATACACGTAAACTCAAAATTTATGAACGGGAATGCTTAGGCATAGAGCGTGATGAAATTTCACTGACTTTGAAATTTGTGGTAAAAATGTTGGTCTAGTAAGGCACTAGAGGCGTAAAATCAAAGTGAGCCACGTTAGGCGCTGCGCCCTGTTTTCGCTCATAACATCTGTAATTTTTTTTCTCGTGAACGTCTGGGGGACGTTTTATTCGTTCATGAAATATGGGCACAATTTTTCCCTAGGTGGGCATAATAATTCCCCCTTTTTTTTAAATGGCTGCCACGCCCCCCAAAAGGTACTTTTGTGATGGCTCCGAATCCGGAAAACACTTGAAATCTTTATAATTATGTCTTTGTGAAGTTTCCTGCTTTTGTGACAAGTGGGAACAACCGTTTTCACTGCGGGCACGACAAGTCCCGTCCCCTTTTTAAAAATTAATGTCACGCCCCTAAAAGGGTAATTTTGCGATGGTTCCACATCTAAAACATTTTTTCGCATGATTATAAACATCAGTGCCAAGTTTCATGCTTTTATGCACAAGTGCACATTTTTTTTCTTCTCACATATCCGCTGGACTACGAGTGAAGTTGCCAAATCTTTCTTTCGGCCGTGGTGTTTACATAATCGATCCAGTCTCTTGAGGGCGCTATTTCAATTTACAAGTGTCAGTCAAATTTTGGAGCGCGCTATACATGTAGCACGTGGCATCATCAGATTCAAGCGAGATTTTCATTATAAAGTTGAATAATTCGGGCAACGAGATTTGGTAGTGTTAAACATGGACAGCGTTGCTGCTACTACGTGTGGAGATGTTTTCGATAGTCTTGAAGATTTAGGGTAAATTTGTTAAGTTAAACTTTGGGGAGGTTGTTGATGTTGATGTTGTTGTTTTATTTGGGGGCGGGGGCGGGACGGGGTATTCAAGGAGGGGCGGGTGGGGGGGGGGGATCGAATCAGCCCTGGCATGCACAGTGGGTCTTCAAATCAAATAGGCCCTTAAAATATTGATTCCATATTTAAAAAAACCTGATAAATTATGTTCACCAATTAAAATGTTGCATTTTCTCTTATTTCTCACTAATAATAATATTTCTAAATAAATAAATATGGAGGAGTTCAAGTAAGCCTATTTGATTCCCACTTAGTTATGGGGCTGGGGGGGGGGGATTCCCCACTACGTCCACAAGATCACTATGCACCCCCCGCCCACTTCATCTTCCACTCTTGTACGCTTTCTTGTGATTTGCACAAACAATGGTATTACTATTAGTAGCATAAGTTTGTCCATGCTGACTACTCCTAGAACTATGAGCGTGCTGCGGGGGCGGGCGGGGCGGGGGGGGGGGGGGGTGTACGGTAGGAGCGGAACGATAATATGCGCATGCGTACAAGTGCAAGTACATACCCGGCCTCCCACGGCGCGCTCCGAGCGATCGAACCGAAAATGACTGCGATCATTCTGCGCGCGTGCACGTTTCAAGTGTCAGGTTGGCTCAGTGCGGAAAGGGCATATTTTTCATCATTTTTGCCGAAAAACCGACAGAATCCACCGATGTTTGTTTGGTGCGCATAACGTGAGTATGTCATGAGGTATTGTACGGAGTTTAGGGGCAAACTGTGCGGCGGTTCTGTGGGAAATAGCTTGGTTGTGGTGGACGTTTGTGTACTTGGTTGGTGTTTTGTAGAGGCAAACAATTTTGCGGGGTAAGTTGTCTATGAGGCTCCACGACCACAGTCGAAGTCACAGCCATGCTATTGGACCTCCAATGGCAAATTCTGTGTGAACGTCGTGCCCACAACAACTTGGTTGTCATCGTGCTAGAATAGCCACCCCATGCAGCCCTGCAATTACCGGTTTCACGGAGGTCACTCTCAACAATTCAGACAACATGTGGAGTGTCATGGCCTAGCGGTTAAGAGCACCGGACTCATGTTCTGGTGTTTCAGAGGCAACAGTGACATGGGTTCGAGCCCGCCGGCAGACACTTGTGCTCTTAAGCAAGGCACTTAACCATTATTGCTTCGTCCTTTGGATGGAACATTAAGCCGTAGGTCCCGTGTGTTGCATAAATGCACGTAAAAAAAACCAGTAAAAACTTATCGCTAAGAGAAGGGGTTTGCCCCGGTGTTTCTGGCCTCCTGTATAAACTCTCACATGGAGTATTTAGGAGAAGAACCAACCAAGAACCAAGAACAACATTGCAGAATCCAATCATACCAAAATACTTTCTTCCCAAGCATCATATGCCTGTGCAATGACTTCCCATCTCAGTTGTGTCCGCCCCATCACTAGAGGCCTTCCAGAACCGGCTGAGCCCATTGTCCCTGCGTTATTTCATCCCCCTTTTGTTGCTACTCTCACTTCGTCACCACTTTTTCTGTGTTTTATCTTTTTGTGAAATTGTGTTCCCTCATCAAACCCTTTGCCCCGTATCCAGTATCTTCGGGAGCTCTAGCTCCTAAGAGGGATGTACTTTCTTGGGAAAAGAAGAAGAAGAAGATGCATAAGATATTTTTTTTATTGTCAAACAAATAATTTCGCCCTCGCCGTGGTTCATCTTTTCAGTTTCTTGAATCATTATGAAACCCTGTGTGTCCTTTCTGTAAGATGACAGTTTTCTCTAACAACTATTTTTTCCCCACACACAGGTATGATGAACCCCTCATTGAAGATGAAGCAGCATTTCAGCAAGCCGTCGATGGAGGCCCCAGCTCAACTGAGTTAACCGCCCTCATCGGTTGGCTAGTAGAAAAACTCAACAAACTGAGCAGTATAGAGGCCACCGTCTCAGCCACATCCCGTCTCAATTCATATCCGGAACCAGTTGCGGACATTGTATCGGGTATAATTAAGGCAGGATTCTAAACAACTTTCCCGTAATCTTCCCGCAAGGAAGTTTTCAGTATTGGTGAGTCAAGCAGTTGCTAACGAAAATTTCCACAGGACATGTCCAGGACAAATTATGCAGGGCTTCCTCCGGACGAAGTGAATGATTCTACCCGCAACTTGCCCAGAACTCGTCACAGATATGAATTGAGACCGGCCCTATACATGTTTTTGTGTTGTTAAAATTTGCATAACAAAGAACACTGTCTGAGGCACCTGCAGTGCATCAGGTCTATTAAAGCCAGAGTCCATCATTTGCAGCTATCCAAAAAGTAACTGGTGTAATTATTGTTGAAAAACATACTTGGTTGAAAGATAGTAAGGGGACTAAACTGCCTGTGAAATTATTCTTTCTGGCAAGCTGTCATTTTGAAGAAATCAACGAAAGAAGGCCTTTCCAACGGTGCGTCTTAAGAAGCACCTTTGGAAATTTCCGTTAGTAGTTGGTTGTTTTATTCGGCGAAGTGCACGTAAGCGTTGACACGACGTTGCTATGATTCGTCGGATCGGTGCGCGACATCGGGTAGCTGCAATTGGCTAGTGAGAACTTGTCTCGGACGCTTAATTCAGGCCCAATTCAAAACATGATTCAGCAACTTTTGATTTGAAATCGAGATCCTAGAATGTTGTTTTTCTCCAAATATACAGCTGAAGCTGAGCTGAAACTTCATCAGGTTACAGGTAGTTGTTCAGCCTTCTTTAGATTTTGAGCACTTTTGTTGCTTCAAACGAACAAAATGCACAAATTACAAATAATGGACTATACCTTTTAAATTGCACTGCCAAATATCATCAAACATTTCAACCTTTGATCCTCAACAGCTACCGAGGAAG